CAGAGCTTTGACTATGACGGTGGGATGCCAGGGAACAAATTGGCTGGGCAGGAGGGTGCCCGGCATCCCCCCATGAGCGAGCGCACCCCAAGACGAACTAATCTCCGAGATGACGACCGGCGGTATCGCCCCCACAGGCCCCGGCGGTCCAGGCGCTCCCGCTCAGACAACGCCCTTCACCTCGCCAGCGAGCAGAGCTACAAGTTGAAAGAAAGGCCCTCTCTGCGAGCCAGGGAAGACTACGATCAGTTCTTGCAGCAGAGAAGTTGCCGAGAGACGGCAGAGCAGGGCTCACGGAGAAATCTGTACGGCCAGTGTCCTAGGACCGTATCGGACCTTGCTTTGCAGAACCACTTTAGCGAACGGTGGGGACCCTACTTTGCTGAATACGACTGGTGCTCGACGTGCTCCTCCTCCTCCGAATCTGACAACGAAGGCTACTTCCTCGGGGAACCGATCCCGCAACCCAGCCGCCTCCAGTACGTCACCGGCGAAGAGCTCCTTCACAAATACGGCTCCTACAGCATGCCGAAGTCTTCCACACTAGGTGGTCGAGGACAGTTACACAGCCGGAAAAGGCAAAAGAGCAAAAACTGCATCATAGCATAACCACGTTGCCCAAGCACAGTGTTGGAGAATGTAACTACTTCATCAACTTGCACTGTTGTAGGTCTTAAAAGTGCTTTTCATTGTAACGGAAATACCTGGCGAGCCGGGAGCTGTAAGAAGGAGGTCATAGACAAGGGTCTATAAATAGTCATAATCGTTGGCATGGTGAATATGTTTTGCACATTTTATTTTGGGGATGGAGGGAGGGATAAAATTTATTTTAGCATGTAATCGTCACAAATTTACCTCCTTCCCACAAGTAGCTGCCACCCACTTAATACACAGTTCACCCTCATCTTTTAAGTTGCCATTGTTTTCTATAACCAGCTTCTAGTTAATTTTCTCTCTCTTGATTTTCATTTTCATCACCTGCTTTTGGTCATTATTCTGCCAGATTGTGTAAGTTATTTCCATTATTGTTCTGTAAATGCAAAGAAAATGAGAGTTTGGAGAAAAATATTTTTGTATTTTGTAATATCAGAGGAATTTCTGTATCTTAGGAGTCCCTGGGAATCTCATGCGTATCCATCATGCTTTTCAGCTAGAGCTAAACAAACAGAGCTTCAGAACCCTTTCTCTTTTGCCATCAGATTTTTTTTTCTGGATCAGCAAGGCTTTCCTTTCTGCACCTGCTCTAAAAGCAAAAGAGCCTCTTATAAATTCATTAGCTCTTGCGGAGGCCTACAGGTTTGCTTTTAAATAATAATAATAATAATAATAATAATAATCTACTAACACTTGCATTTTATGTTATTCTGTAAAACAAATACAGGCGTCTGTTACCGAAACGAAATAAAAAAAAACACGTTGCTGTTTATCCAACGACATTTAAGAAAAACCCGTAACCACCAAATGTTTGGAAAAAGAACCCAGGTCTAAGAAGGAAGTTTACATCTATTTGGAGAGGGCTGGAGTCGCTAAAAAATAATAATTCAGCTACTTTTGGGAGGATAGACCAAAACAGTTGTAAATGGTTCAGTTGTGTGGTGTCAGCATGAACTTGTTTTGAGTATAGAATTGTTTTCTGGTGCTCTAGTTTCCTGGCATATGTTAACTGCTGTTCATTACCAAGAGGTAACTTCAACACTGCCTTCTTCTGAAATTCATAATGAAACGAATACATCCTAATCATGTCAGACTTAAAGCCTACCCTTGGGAGATAAACACTTCAAACCCATTACGAAGGCAGTTTGAAGGGCCTATCCTCAGGGTAGAATGGAGTCCATTCTTTGGAAGTAGAACAAAGCAACAACAGCTTCAACATGGTAGTTATATACATAGGGCTCAAAGTGTACTGTGTGCTATGGTGGATGTGATTTTTTTCTCTGTATGCTTTAAACAATTGGGAGATTGACACCCAGATGTGTTCTATATTGTTTTCAGATGAGACAGCGGGAAAGAAGGAAATTCTTTGTTTCTTTTTTTCCCTTTTGGTTGTTGTACTTTTTACTACAGGGCTGTAAAACGGGTTTCAGTAGACCCCCCAGCTAAATAGGATCTTGCCAGCTTACTACACCTGTGGAGAACTGGGTGGCTCTGTTAGAACAAGAGTCAATGGGAATAGATGGCAAAACCCAAATTGGTGTGAGTGGAATGGGGCAGACAAACAAACAGACAGGTGTGGGAGCCCTGACTCTCCAGTTGGACCTAAGAAATGGGGTCTTTGGGCCTGCTCCAGCTCCACTGTGGAACAGGCCTTGGATCAATGTACTTGTAACGCTGAGGGAACAGATGGCCTTGCCTATTGGAAAGCAGTGACTTGGAAGGAAATCTCAGATACGGATGTATCCATAGCACAGCTAAGAATCTTTTTGTTGTGCATAAGGAGAATGTGATAATTATGATTTTTTTCCCACAAAAAAAATAAAGAAAGAAAAAGAAACAAGGTGATGTATAAAAAGAAAGACTTTCTTGGCTTCGATGAATGAACATATTGGCCCAAACAGAAAATATATTGGTGTGTGTTTTTTACAGTAGATTCTATTCGCTGTCATCTCATTAGGAGGTATATATCTATTTCCTTTTGACTCATTTTATGCTCAGTGGAATAGAACCCACAGTGTCTGTTATCATTCTGATGTGCCCCATTGACATCTCACAAGAACACAGTTCCCAATGCATTTCAGTGCAGCTTAAGCACACAAAGCTGTCCATGACATATAAGAGAGCAATGGAACTTGTGTGGGCTGCAGGTTCACCTCATAACCCCTGGATCTTGGGGATGGCAGTACGGTCTGCAATAATCATTTGACTTACACTCACAAGTGGAAACATGCTGCAATTTCCCATTTTGTCTATCACACATTGTTAACTAGCCATGGTTTGTACAAACTGCCACTTCCTGTGTTGCCTTTTCACTTATTGGACAGAACCATGATGACCATGTTAACAACGTTAAATGGATTAGAAATGGTAGACATAAACGGGAAATTTAGAGGGGAGGGAAACCTATATATGGTTTGCTAAATGTATAAGCATGATTCATTTAGGCTGGGGTGGACCCTGTGGCCCTACAGACATTGGTGGACCCAGATCTCACTTTCCCTGACCCTTGGGCATGCTGGCTGAGGCTGAAAAGGGTTGGCAGTCCAACGACACCTGAAGAACCACCCCTGATTTATGCCCTGGTCTAATTAATCAGTACTTAAGTTTGTTTTAAGGTATTAGGGCACCAAGAAGTTGGCATATTAACGTATTTTTCGCCCTATAGGACACACTTTTCCCCCTCCAAAAATGAAGGGGAAATCTGTGTGTGTCCTATGGGGCGAATGCAGGCTTTCGCTGAAGCTTGGAGAGCGAGAGGGGTTGGTGCACACCGACCCCTCTCGCTCTCCAGGCTTCAAGAAGCTATCAGCAAGCCTGGGGAGCCCGCAGGAGTTCCCGCAGGGCTCCCTAGGCTGCGGATAGCAGCCTGCTGCCCGGAGCACGGGGCGCGCTGAAGCAGAGCACCCCTCGCTTCGGGCAGATACCCGCAGCCTAGGGAGCCTGCTGCCCTTGTTTTTCTCCTCTAGAAACTACGGTAGGTGCGTATGTAAAAGCTCAGGCTTCCCCTGCCCCAGCCCCGCAGCTGGGGGGAATAATTTTTTTTTTCCTTATTTCCCCCCCAAAAAACTAGGTGTGTCCTATGGGCCGGTGTGTCCTATAGGGCAAAAAATACGGTACATATTAGGCCCAAAGCAACTAATGTGACTGAACCTCCTGGAAAGCAATGAGACTAGTACTACTACTATTAGCACTAAATTTTATTTATGAAGCATTTTATATGAAAAATGCAGCCTGCATTGAACTGTACTACAAGTACATATCCTAACTACATTTTATGCATTTGTTGTTTAAATGACCATTTTAATAATAAGATCTTTAAAAATGCAGTTTATCAAGGTGACTCAATCAGACATGATTTGAGGATTGCTGTCTCTAAAGCTGCAATTCTCTGCCTGCTTACCTGGGAGCAAACCCGTTGAACTCAACAGGGCTTGCTTCTGAGTAAACATGCATAGCATTAGGCTGTAAAACCCTTAGGTGTCTTTAATGTGCCGTTTTCAGATAACCAAAGGAATGGTTTGTATTTTGGAGGGAGTTGCATATGCATAATACCTTTATCGGTAGTCCATAATTGCCAATAATTACATATAATTACTTCTTGAAATTACATACAGATTGTTAATTGGGGACAGATCGTTAACTGGTGTTAATCAGCATATTCCAGAGAGGTGTAGAGATTCATGGCGATGCATCAAGGAGAGGAAAAACATGCATGTGCTGAATTTGACAACCGTCGCTCTCTGATGCACTGGTGAAACCCCCCAAATACCAAATGTAAACCTGTGATTCTACCCTTAACTTCCTAAAAGTTTCTATAGCAATTTTAGATGTTAATGGCGTCAGTCAAAGAAAGAAGGAAGCAACCAAGAGTTGGCAACATGTTGAATCTTTTATCTGTCTGAAGAACAGATTAAAATGTGCGAGTTGGCAGGTGGAATCAATGTACTAATGCCATGGGTAGCTCAACACCAGATACTATTGCGTGGGCAAAGGCTACATATAATCGTAATATTCCGCGAAGCCAACAGCTCAATTCTGCACATGCCTCTTGAGAAGTAAGTCTTACTGAGTTTCAACAGGAACTACTACTAGATAAGCATATAGTGCAGCCTACCGAACACAGTAAGACTTCCAAGTAATGATGCCATGGTTGGTCAACAAGATGTATAACGCTGCTTATATGAAGCCCAAACAGGCTGGCTGGTCAAGTGAATTCAGAAGGCCAGGGCAGCTACCTTTGACAGGGCAAGTCAGTCCCTGAGTGTGGGCCAGTTGTGGACCATCATTATCAAGTCATCTTATCAGAAAACCACCTAAACAAGTGTTTGTCTCTCTCTCTGTGTATAGTGTGTGTGTGTGTGTGTGTGTGTGTGTGTGTGTGTGTACACATATATATATACATAGACACACGCACACACACATATTACACACACACATATATTAATCCTGCACACATTATCCATCTACACATATCATCTTTCCTGCTCCTATTAGGCGCAATTGGCTGTTGCCCTGAGATCAAGTCCATTGATTAAAAGCATGGGGAAGATAATGTGAATGGAAGAAGAAGCCTTTACGTCATCCTTGTAGCTGGCTTCTCCCCTGGGACTTAAGTGGATCTTTGCCTGGAGGATGAAGCCGACTATAGAAAGGTCTAATGAATTCCTCCAGGCTTATGATAAATACTACAGGTGAATCACTGGTGTTAATGAATTGGATCCCAAACAACAAGAAGCTAAAGCAAACCACACCCACATTTTTGTTCCATCTGTACTCTACAGACAAAACTGAGCGTTGGCTCCTGTTAGAAAGTGTCCGCGATCAAAGCAAGATGAAAGCAGGGACATTTGGACATGCTTTTATTGCAGGAAGCCCCATCAATGGAAAGGTTTTGCAGAAAAAGAATCCTAAGGCTGCAGGGGCTTGGAGAGAGCAATTTAGTGCACTGGGCTCATCAAAATGCAGGGAGTTGCAATAATCACAGCTAAGAAAATGACTGTATGTCACAACAGAAGAAAGTCCCTTGGTGGCAGGCAGGTATTATAATAGGCAGTTTGTAAGGAGAGCCGATAAGGTACACGGGTAGCGCTGTGGGTTAAACCACAGAGCCTAGGACTTGCTGATCAGAAGGTCGGCGGTTCAAATCCCCATGACGGGGTGAGCTCCCATTGCTCGGTCCCTGTTCCTGCCCACCTAGCAGTTCGAAAGCACCCCAAAAAGTGCAAGTAGATAAATAGGTACTGCTCCAGCAGGAAGGTAAACGGCATTTCCATGTGCTGCGCTGGTTCGCCAGAAGCAGCTTAGTCATGCTGGCCACATGACCCGGAAGCTGTACGCCAGCTCCCTCAGCCAGTAAAGCGAGATGAGTGCCGCAACCCCAGAGTCGGTCACAACTGGACCTAATGGTCAGGGGTCCCTTTACCTTTAAGGAGAGCTGATAACAGTAGCTTTTGTTTACTTGCCCCGTAAGGCTCTGTGTTATTTTCTCAGGGAAATGCTTAACAAGGTAGTGAACTTCAAACAAGGGGTGGTAATCCCTGGAAGTGCAGACTTAAATGATGCAAAGGACACTAACATGGGCACGAGAATAAAATAAGTAATAAATGTTGGAAATGTAAAGAAAAAGAAGGATCTTTTTATCACATGTGGTGGGGCTTGCTCTTAAGATCCTATTCGTCTTAAAGATGCAGTAACATAGATCAGCATGGGGGCGTGCCCGCAAAGGGGGCTGCAGAATAGGAAAGATGAAATGTGGGGTGGTCTGTGTGCAACAGAGATTCCGTGTCCCATAAAGAGAGGAGTGAAAGGAGAGATGCAACTCCTTAACGTTAGCTGTTGCTCCACCATGGAGTCTCGGGACAGAGTGACAGCCATCTGTGAAGTCGCCAGAAGAAAGTTGTGTGTGGCACCAAACCCAAAGGCTCTTTCCTCCTTGTCTATATGACAGCTGTTTCCATTTTGAGGGCCTCGGAGCAACATCTGCAAGAAATCAAGTGCAGGAGCCCATGCTGCAGCAATATGCCAAATTCCAGCGTGCGAGTCGGGCCCTGTTCTTAGCCGTTTTGTGTGTGAGCCTCTCTTAAAGTTCTCCTTGAAAACCAGGCTGTGTCGAAACACACCTAACCCTGTTTGGATCGTCTGAGCTACATCTGTTTCTTTTTAGCAGTACAGTGGCACCTCGGGTTACAGACGCTTCAGGTTACAGACTCCGCTAACCCAGAAATAGTGCTTCGGGTTAAGAACTTTGCTTCAGGATGAGAACAGAAATCGTGCTCCGGCGGCGCGGCGGCAGCAGGAGGCCCCATTAGCTAAAGTGGTGCTTCAGGTTAAGAACAGTTTCAGGTTAAGAACGGACCTCCGGAATGAATTAAGTACTTAACCCGAGGTACCACTGTATTTTTTTAAAAAAATGTAATTCTGCCTTTTCCAGCCCTTCCAAGGATCGGAGCAATGAGCACTTTTTGTTGGGGAGAAGAAAGCTGCCTCAATGAGTTGTGCGAAATCTTGGCTGCTGGCTGCCAGCATCGACGAATCAACTAACAGTTGTTCTGCATGAAAATGGCAAGATCTGAATTTAAATGGAAATAGTTGGGGTGGACCTGTATGGAAAGGCAATCTGGAAGAGCTCTTCTATTGGTTCGTGTGATCTGGAGATGAACCCTTGAATTCCACTGAGATAAAACACATTATCTAAGAGCATAAGTACACAAGAAGAGCCTGTTGGATCAAGCTATCCAGTCGGCGTACTGCTCTCACCATGGCCAACCAAATGTTTATAGGAAGCTCAAAAATAGGACCTGGGCCCCATAACATTCTCCCTACTTGGAGGTCCCAGCAGCTGCCTTTCCTGTACCACCACTGCCTCCTGCTTGAAAACACAGAAGATGAGAGCGCTGTTGCGCTCAGATCCTGCTTGCAGTATATTCCCAGAGGCATCTGGTTGGCTAGATGGGTCATTGGCCTGATCCAGCAGGCTTTTCTTATGTTCAAGAACAGATACCTAAAAATAGAGACAGTTCCTGGTAAATTGGAACAGTCGGAACATATGGCTATGCCTTATCTGCAGTTCCTCTTCCCAAAATTGGGGAGTGATTGCTATAAAAGAACGCATATAAACATCAAAAGCAGAATAAGAGCCCCACCACTTTCAGTAGGAAATATGTCATGGCCTGTTTATCTAGCGTCCACTTCATTCCTTCTAACATGCTGCCCCCTCCCCCTTGTTTGGGTATTGTCCCCACATTCGCAGAAGAGGTAAAAGGTAAAGGACCCCTGGTCCAGTCAAAGGCGACTATGGAGTTGTGGCACTCATCTCACTTTCAGGCAGGGAGCCAGCATTTGTCCACAGACAGCTTTCTGGATCACGTGGGCAGCATGGCCAAACCGCTTCTGGCACACCAGGACACTGTGACGAGTGCCAGAGTGCACAGAAACACCGTTTACCTTCCCACTGCATTGGTACCTGTCAGGGGTTCTGGGACAGAGGCACAGGGTAGGCAGGAGATGGAGAGCGATGGGGATGAATCCCAGGACAGCGAGGAAGAGGATGACAATGACTCAAGAGATTCCATGAGTCTTTCCAGCGAATCAGAGGATTCCCAGAAGGGGGCGCCGGTGGTCAAGCCCAGGGGAGCCCCAGGGGGGAAGTGTCAGGAGCAGGGGGCCAGCTGGGCATCCCAAAGTGGCAGCTGGGTGTCAGGACCAGCCTCCCCGCCAGAGTGCAGCGAAGGGGGTGGAGGTTTCAGTGTGTCAGGGGAAGCGGCTCCGGCAGCAGAGAGGAGGAGGGAGGTCGGAGCAGTCATCCTCCCGGAAGGGGAGGGAGCAGTGAAGGGAGTAGTGTAGCTGTTGAAAGGAAGGTTAGAGGCTGGGCGCGCGCCAAGTTCAAATGTAGAGGCGCGCGGAAGTACAGGGAGCCCGGAGGAGGGGCCAGGTCCCAAAGCCCGCAGGAGGGGGCAAGAGCAGTCTGATTCCGCGCCAGAGGAATCCAGGAGGGGTGAAACCCCAGCGGGCAGAAGGACCCTGCGGAAAAGGAAAGAGAGAAAGAGGTGGAGCAGCGCAAGCCTCTTAAATTGGTGCAGGGGAGGGACGGATTCAGAGGGGACTTCAGCGGTCTAAGCGTAGCAGACGTAGGGCTGCGCGCCTAGGATGTCAAGCAAACAATGAACTGCAATAAACACTTTTGTATATAAGAAGACATAGGCGTTGGTCTTTTGTGAGCTGAGACTTGAGGCAGCCCTGACAGTACCTATTTATCTACATGCATAGGTGTGCTTTCAAACTGCTAGGTTGGCAGGATCTGGGACAGGGCCATGGGAGCTCACCCCGTCAAGCAGATTCGAACCGCCGACTTTCGGATCGGTAAGCCCCAGAGGCTCGGTGGTTTAGACCACAGCGCCACCCGCTGTGTGAGTCAAAAGCTCACAGGTGTTAAGGCGGGATCATTTCCATGACCCAAAATATTCAGTTCTGCAGCATTGCAGATTGTGAGCGATGCTTTACGTTGACATTGTGGAAACACCAGCATGCTCACACCCGGGTCCCAGCTGAATTCAGAACTTTTTGGTCACTGCATTCCTAACCTTCATAGCAAAGGTGAAAGACACTCTTAATCTAAGGGCTGTGGGTTTGATGCCACATGTTTGGTGAACAGATTCCTGCATTGCAGGGGCTAGATGACTCTCATGGTCCCTTCCAACTCTGCAACTTTGTGATTCAAAGAAGGAAACCCAGTAACTCTAACACATAATCCTTGAAGAAGATTCTAGGATGCAAGCAACATACAAGCGAGTTGACAACACAGGTACTAAAGAGAGCAGCAAAGAGTTAAAATGTATTGTTTGGTCCCCCGTCCCCCCGCTCTGTGAGGCATTTGCTATCAGGTACGTGAGGAAACTGTTAACGCTTCCCGCTCATCTATGATTAACTGCTTCTGACACAATGGATGGAAGGAGCTACACCAGCCGGCTGTGTTCTGCTTTGTAGCCATCTGGCCCTGCTTGCTGCATCCCTCTATCTCCACAGGCCATGCTCTGGACGACCTGCGTAAGGGCAGATGTGTGCCTTCGAAAGGTATTTCCCTCGGAGCGTTCCTCGTCGCAGGAAATCGTGACCTTAATCTCCTCCTCCTTATTCCCTTAAAAGGTGGCTGGGCCGAAGGCGAGACGCAATAGAGAAGCAGCTAATTTCATGTGTTGGAAGAGTAAGAGAGCATCTCTCTTGAGGAACATTCTCAAGGGTGTTTTCAGGCGTTGGGGCCTGAGACCAAATAACATAAGGATGCAACAAACACACTTGCAAGCATTATTGTTATACAGACTGTGGCACAAGCTTGTCAGGGAACGGGTGCCAGCTTCTGCTCCAGGACTAGGGTGCCCTCACTTGCATCCACTGCCTGTTTATTTGATTTATACCCCCCGCCTTTCCTCTCAGGAGCGCAA